CTAGGAAATGGTCAAATAAGAGATAGCATAGTCCAAAGTTGGATAGTGGGCAGGCTAGAGTTCAGAAGAGATCTTCTCTATATCTTGGTGCTAGAAGAGATGAGGAGAATTGCACTTTCAAATTTGCAAGATTAGGTTAATACCTTTAACCTTACAATTCAGTACAATTAGCTGATCATGTCGGGTTTTTTTTGTCAAAACTACCTGGTAAGGCTAACAGAATGTAAGACACTTGCAGCCTTACCTGAAGCTCCCATATTCACACAATTTTCAGAAACAGTATTAAGGGTCACAGATCAAAGGTCCTAGATCTATAAACATTTCATAAATTTCATATTTTTTTGTTGAAAGGAAGAGAACTGCTTGTAACTAGTGAATAGGAGAAACAGAAGCTCATATCTTACATGGAAAAGAAGATCCAGAAAAACCGAAATAGTAGTTAGCTGGTGTGTGAATTTCTAATAGAAAAGAACAGACAAAAAGCTGCACATTATATAGCAATGAAGGAGCAGGACCATAGTCCTCCAACAGCATATGTATTTGAGCCAGGCTAATCATCTGTGCATAAAGATTTAAATCTGAATAGATGATTTTTTTTGTTGACTATTTGTGTTCTTGTAGTAACAAGTTTGGATTTTTTTTCCTCTTCACAAATTCATAAAATAGGAAGGATTTAGATCATTAAGTCCAATGCAGGAAACCAGACTTAAGGCACTACTAGCTAAGGCTTCCCTTGAACTCATTTATTGATGGGAAACCTACCAACTGTCTAGGTACATGGTTCCATTCTCAAGCATACTGTATATAGACAGCCTATGAGATGGCACAAAATATTTTAGCGTCACTTGTTCTGTCTCAACAGTCTAGCTCTTTCTGCCTCTTTAGCTTTAATAGGGAATAAATTAAGGAAAATGATCCGTGTAATTCCTGATGGGGGGAGTGACATCACCAAGTGCTTTCTCTAATGCTTTCCTCAGCAGAGGGTGTGGGTTTTGACAAATGGTTAGACTCTCAGGCTTAGCCATTTATCAAACCTCCTCCATGAGATGGATGGAGGCTTCCTGCTTTCTCCAGCTTTGCTGGGAACCCCCATTCACAGCATGGATGAACTCGATGAAAGCTCTGTCACAGGGTCGTGTCCTTAGAGAATGATTAGTAAGGCATTTTCCATTTGCAGCTAGAGAGGATATTTGAATGAGTCTTCAAACTGGTCTCCCTGTTAGAAATTAGATATCACTTCTACTATTTTATATTTTACTTGCTGATGACATATTAGACTAGATGAATGATAATGTGTTGCTCCACTGCTAGTGTGTATAATGGGGAAAGGAGCAATCAATATGATGCTTTTTGTCATCATACTCTTATTAACCATGAAATAATTGGATTTTACACATTGTAATGCCTTGCAAACGACAGTCTCTGGAAGGGTAATTCCAGAAAACCTTATACGTACATCGGATGATTTGTCCCTGTAAGTCAGAAGCCATTGAAACAGAAGCTCACACATATCTGTGTTGTAAATTTATTAACTTGTAGCCAGGCTGCCATGGTTGTTTTTATCTCAATTATCTTTTAGCTGGCCAGAGTAATGCATTCTCTTGTAACGTTGACATTTCTGTTTAATAGCCAGAAAGATTTGGCAGGATCTCAGTAGGGATATTTTGATTTGATTAAAATTGTTTAAAGTTTAACCACAACAATAACCTAACTTTTTATCTCTTTTTAGTTATAATTTATGACGGTTGTTTATCAAAATATAGAGTTGACTTTGCAGAAGATATGGGAGAGTCATTAAGGGGGAAACAAAAAGGAAGGCATTATGGAGAGATTTGGAGAAAACCTGTGTAGTGTTTGTCAGAGTCTAGCAACAGAAGGAATTCCGTGTGAGAAAGAAACTCAAAATAATCCCACCTTAGTTTGCTTAGTATGAGTAGGGACATAGAGAAGCCTGAACAGACTTTCAAGATTATGTTGCTGTGTAAAAATAAATTAAACTTTCTGGGAATCCATGTGTTGTCTGTTTCTTATCTGTCCAACATCAACCTTCTTAACTGAAGATTTATTGCTAATAGTCTCAGGGATCTAACTGGTTTATTTGATTTAAAAAATTTCATACATTATTGCTACATCTAATTGAACTTTCTTTATTTTGTTTATATATCATATTCATCTTTTAATCTTATGTAACTGTGTTTTTATGCCTTATGTTATTTAAGGCAAATCAATGACTGAAATAAAGTACTAATCTGATTAGCTGAGTTTTAGGTACTGCAAAGCAATAATGTAGTGTATATATTCTAAGGGTTAAGGTGGCTAATCATCTAAAGTAATTTTGATGTATTATTGAAAAGGATAAATGTAGGATAACAAGAATGAATAAGTGTAATAATTTGTAATTAAGTAAATCAATTAGGAGAAGTTGCATAGGGAAACGTATTATTACGATGAATATGTTATTAGTTCTTGATGAATGTATTTTTTATATACAGTGAAAGCATATGCACCAAAGACAAATTCCGTGTGTCCAATCACACTTGGCCAATAAAGAATTCTATTCTATTCTATTCTAAAAATGCATGAAAGGTAATGATACAACAAAATGATTCCTTATTTTAGATTATTTTTATACAAAAATAGTTTTTTTTATTTGTCAATTTTTAGGAGGAGAGATAAGAATTGCTTATAAAAATCACTCTTTGAGAGACTTCATGGGCATGTTCCTATAGTTTTCCTGACAATGGTATAGAAGTGCTTGATAGTGTCTCCTGCTATTGCTCCTCCTCTTTGACCTAAGTACTAGCCAAATCCAATCTTGGAATTTTTTTTGAACAAGTATGAACAAGGTCAGGTAGGCCATATAATACATTTGCTAAGAAAATGAATTGTGAATCAGGAATTTTCTAGTGCACATGACCACCATATTATGAATTTAGAAGTTGACGTGGAGCAAGACTCCATACATATTTGTTCTGGAGAAAAAATATGGAATTTTGAGAACATGTGATGGGCCCTTTGACAGGGAGGTCTTGTCAATTCACCAAATGACTGTTAGAATGGGCACAGTTATTTTTAAAGCTTTTATACATTTAGAAGGCAAACTGGTTACAATCCTATCCTCATTCCTCATTTGTATGTTCTAACAAAATCATACATGACCTGAGACATTCTGGTAAATAAAGGAGATATGTTCATAGGCTTTTGTAAGATGCCAGTTTCCTAAAAATAAATATAATTAAGAATACATATGTACTGTCAAATAGGGGTGGGAGTTTGGTAGGATCAAGAAATGTATCCAGGGAACCACAATAGACATTCCAAAATTAGACAAGTATTTTCTTTCAACTTTAGCTTTTCCTCCAAAATGTAAGGGCAATAATGGAATAGAATTATTGAAAGAAGTGTTAGTTCAATCTATATTTTAAGGATCTTGTCCCATCGATGCTATTGGGGAAAAAAATCCTTATCAGAGAAATGAACATTTCCCTAGGACAGTGGGTCTAAAGCTTCCTAATGCCGTGACCCTTTAATACAGTTCCTCATGTTGTGGTGACCCCCAACCATAACATTTGAAAATATGTGTTTTCCAATGGTCTTAGGCGACCCCCTGTGAAAGGGTCGTTCAACCCCCAAAGGGGTCCTGACCCACAGGTTGAGAATCATTGCCCTAGGACTACTTAGATCAGCCAAGGTAGAAGCTGAGGAAGTAGCTTTTTCCTTCTTCTTTTTTGCCGCAATCCCCCCAATAAATGAATTTTTTTTTGATAAGCATTTCCACTGACTTCTAGAATCCATGGTTCCAAACTAAACACATTCTATTTACCCAACTACCACTGGAATAATGGAAGTGGTTTCTGCTGGCATAATGAGGCAACCTCCTGCAAAGAGAAAATCTGCTGTAGGAATTAAGACCCACCAGAACTTCTAATAACTTATTCATCTTACCCTCTATCAAAAAGCACTATAATTATTCAACAACTCTTCCAAATGTTTTATTTTTCTTTGAGGCTGCTATTGTTCCTAAAAATATATAGTAGAAAATCTTCCTCTTAATCTTTTGTTAAATGCAGGAGGGACGATGATTGATTTAGGAAGTGTATAATCAAATCAGTAACAGATGTACATCAAGCAGGAAGTACATTATTAAAGATTTTCTCCATGTTGTGTGTCTGTGTATAAAACTGATGCATGTAAAAGGTGCAGCTGATATTATTTTGTTATAAACTGGTATATTTTAACACTGGATAACAATTATACATAATTAAGATTTGGACTCTGTACAGTAATCACAACCCAGTGTAATAGATTGCATCTCATAATTTTGTAAAAGAATGAGAATGATGAGAATGAGAGAAAATAAATGAATATAAATGACTCTTCACCAGAAGAACAAACTGAAAGTCCACTGTAAAGTAGCAACACTTGCAAAGATAATACCACTGATTGCAGGATTTCGGGTGGTAGTGTGGGGCATTATCTAAGGCCCGTAATTAATATTTTGCTGTGTCTCTTAACATTCAGCTGTTCTAAACACAGGGATGTTATTAGAAGTCTTCAGTTTTCAAAAAAAAATGTAAATAAGAGATCTAAATAGTTTTGATTAATTATTTATTTCTGTGTATCTTTAAATTGTCAGTTTAGGATCCTTTTTTCACATTAAATAAAGAGCATTCGGACGCCTGCATTTAAAAAGAATCCCGCCAATCACCTGCATCAGCCAGTATAAACTAAAACACAATAAATGTCCTGGATATAATGGAGAAGGTACTGTATCTCAAAGATATAATAAATATTATTGATAAGATGTCCAAGTATTTACCAATCGAGATGGATACAGCATAAAACTTTAGGCCTTACAGTTTTTCCCTCACAGTTTGCTCTTCTGTCTCTCTCAAAGGTGAATGACAGAAGCTGTAATGATTTTTAAATACTGATCTGACAGCCAGTTCATGAGAACACACTGATAAATAGAATTTATCAGTCATTCAGGTCATTCTTACTTGATGAAGGGTCTGTTATCCTCAAAGCTGAAGAATGCATAGACATAAAGACAAGAATGTCAGCATTAGAATATAATGACAAAAAGATACCATGTAGGTAAGCATTCAAACAAGTTCATCTCCAATTCAAATCATAGAAAGCTAGAGAAACAATTGGACAACCAGGTTGAAAACTAACTTTTTTAATGCCATTAAAAGATAATGTTTTGGTAGCCTATCAAAAATGTGAACCACCAAGGAAAAATCACCAATGTTGTTTAATTAACAATACATTTCTACAGCCTTTAATAAGAAGCAATATTTTTTGAAACTGTACTCTTTCCGCCTAAACATTGGTTTTCATGCCCTGCTTTTGAAATTAGTCATTTCAGAAACAAACATACTATAATATGAAAATAACCACGCATGAAAATTTCTTTTTTAAAATATAGCATGAAAATTATGATCTGCATGAATTTTTGAATAAAGGATGAAGCTGTAGTTCAAAAATCTTGTTTTCCTTCTCATATCTATTACTGCTGAATAGATATTTTCTGGAAGTGTAGGTGTTTTTATAGCAAGGAGGTATGTAATCTGTGACAGGAAAACTGACAAAGAATGAGGTTGACTATAGTTCACTTTATCAGTTACACGGAACATCATTTTCCCAAACCCCAACAAGCTATATATGTGTGTAAGTTCCTCTCTTAAGTTAATACTCTGCATCTGAATAAGTGGAACAAAACTCTCTATAAACATTTATGCCATGATCAATGTATTATTCCAAACACTTAGGGATTTTTTTTTTTTGCTGAACCTGTTTCTCCATCAGCTCTCTTAAACAAGAGTACAAATTATACTACACTGATGATGCTAAAGTAATTATACATCATAGGATAATAGAATTGGAAGGGACCTTAGAGGTCTTCTAGTCCAACCCCTGCTTGAACAGGAGACTCTTTACCATTCAGGACAAATGTTTGTTCAATTTCTTCTTGGAAACCTCCAGTGATGGAGCACCCAGAACTTCTGAAGGAAAGCTGTTGCAGTGTCTAATAATCAGACACTTACTGTTGAAAATTCTGAATGATAATACCTATTATAATTTCTGAATTATTTACTGGGATGCCTCTCATAATTATTATTTAGCGAAATTGAGGTATTAGAAGGAATAGATGAGATTTCTGAGTTAAAAAGTCAGAAGCATTTTCTTCTCTTTCTGTTGTTTGTTAAATTTATTATTCATTTATTAGATTTATTTCTCACTTTTTCTACAGGAGTTTAAGGTGCTGAATATTGTGTTGTATCCTATTATTTCTACATAATAACTGTGTGAAGTAGGATTGACTGAAGGAGATAGACTGTCCTAAAGTAATTTAGCCAGCTTCCATGGCTGAGACTGGACTAGAAACTCCCTACTCCTAGCCTAACTCCTTAACCATTACACTGATATGGTACATCATTTTTTAATAGTATACTGGTTTGATATGCTACATATCAATTGTGAGCAACTCAGACTTGTTTACTGAGATGGGTGTCTATAGAAATCGAATAAGTAAATAAATAAATTGCTTCTGTCAATATTAAAAATTGCTAGTTCAAAAGGAAAGGAATTCACAATTTATTATAACTCCCTAATTTAAAAACAAAATACACAGAGAAACATTAAGACAAAAAACCCGAAGAATTAAAAAGGAAGACAAATAAAAACGGAAACAAACAAAACATTCCATTTCTATATATGTGTATGAATACATATGTGATCTCAAGGAAAAATACAAACATTTTAAACATGCCAATTCAATCATTCTTAAAAGTATAACTTTTATGCAGAGAAACATCATAATATCTTAAGGAAAAACTGTCAAAAATGGTGAGCAGATTTGCTGAAATCTATTCTTCACTGTAAGATTCTTTAAAGTTCTTTGCTGACATTGTATTACCTATCAAAACAACTTCCACGCTTTTAAATGTAACTAAACCAAAGAAAGATGAAGGACCTCCATAATGGTTCCGAAACTGTAAAATCTATGGCCATGTCTGATCTGAAGCATTTTTTTTCTATATTGGATCTAAACAGCTCTTGGGGTATGTTTCATCAACTTCAGCTGTTTGCTAAAAGCAGCTATTTCTGAACAGGGTTTAGCTTCAGTTTTTCTTGCTTTACTAATTTCGCTGCTTAATTATTATAATAAGTTATAAGTGATGTGGCCATTGAAATGATACAAAAGTATCAATTCATTATTTAGCTTCTAGAATTGTCAATTGTGTTGCCCTTTGGAGTATTATTACCCATAGTTTTAAAAAAGAATCACACTTACTGAGTAATCACTTGGACAGTACATTTTGATACTTACCATTAAAGACCCATCACAATAATCCAAGTGTTAAGAGTGTAGAGTGGTGAGCTATTGTATCTTTTCTGTATGATACTTCAATATAAGTCAGACTGTCTTTAAAATTTGACTGACAATACTATATTTTTATCTAAAGGACCTTTTTTGTTCTAGTTTGTTTTACAGACTTATTATTGCATGAAGTCTGAGCATAGTAAGCTGCACTACTTTACCAGAAGTACATTACTTAAAAAATTAGTAATATTACCCACCAATGATGGCCAAGAAATATGAAGTTTGAAATGAGTCAGGTGAATGAAACCTTTTACATGTTGTCCTCATGCTATATAAAAGGATTTGAATGCACCTCTGACATATTTACACACACAAACACAGTCACAAAACCTGAAAGGTAATTAGAAGAGCTTCTTTAAATAATTTCAAAACTACTGTTCCTGGGGATGGAAGGATAGACTTTCTGTTTGTCTTAAAATAGGATTCCTAAACCTTTTGCACCTCCATTTAGTATAATCTTAAAGTACACACTTCTCCTAAATATGTAAACACCAAAATGAACACAAATGAACAATGAAAATGATACAACATAAATTTGGGAAAGGTAAATTTATTTTATCTATGCAACTAAAAGACTCTTCAAATTTCCTCTGGACTCTACAAGAGTGGTACATCTCACAGCTTAGGAGATTCTGCCTTAACAGAATGTGGAATCTTTGGGCATCATCCAAGTGTATACATACAAGCCTTTCTCATACTCAAAGTATGGACTCTCAAAAGACTCAAGAAGTCATGAAGTTCATTCACAATAGCTATTGTATCTACTCTGTTCACCAAGAATAGGAGAAAAGTGACAATGAGATCAGATACAATACCCCCAGATACAGGAAAAAGATCACTGTAAATATTCTACTCTCATAGAATAGCCCAAAGCATATATTCCAATAAAGAGAAGTTCCCTGAAGATGGGCTCCATCCTGAGTCCAAAAGCTTGGAATAGTAAACCCCTGTTCCTGGTGACCGACCCAGATTGGATCTTGCAACTGTAAATATTGTTTCTTCACTGGAAATGCCAGACAAATCCTTTTATTAACTCATGTCATTTTTATCCAACCACTCAAAGTGTAATTAAGAGTTCCGAGATGAGTAGAAAAAGGGGCTACTGTGACAACTGAGTTCAGTAGGTGCTTGCAACAAAAAGAGACCTAATTCAATTTCCTAGGTTGAATAAGAATTAATTAGTTGACTTAGAATTAATCTCTATTACCCTTGCAAGTCATGCAATTTACACCAAGTTAGAGGATTTCTCAGTCTTGATTCAGAAGCAAAAGTATGGTAGATTCTGTCTCTAAGGTTGAGCTTATATACACAGTATATAGCTGATCTGCAGGCAAACAAGATCTAATTTGAATCAGGAATTCATGAACTGGATAAGCTTAAAGTATTGACTGATCTTAGAATATAATTATCTGCAATGAATAAAAAGAATGGGCACTTTACAGAAGAAGATTGTGGAGGTGGGATAGTGAGGTAGGGTGATAGTGAACACAAATGAACATCTCAATGGCAGTAGCAGTGATGCTGTGATTACACAGAGAATCAGCAATGGTTTTGGAGAAAGAGTTTGTGATAAAAGAAAAAAAGTAGTAGTAGTAGTAGTAGTAGTAGTAGTAGTAGTAGTAGTAGTAGTAGTAGTAGTAGTAGTAGTAAAAGGATTTTAGCCATGAGTTGAAAAGCATGGAAAAACTTAATTCTGCTTGAACTTCCTTTAAAGTTCTCTGTGAGCAAATTACTTGCTTGGTCTCACTCTGCAGCAGTGGCAAAAGACCACAAGTTCAGTGGAACAATTCTGTGTCCTAAACAATGAATAATGTCACCTAGGCCCGTGATGGTGAACCTATGGCATGTGGAACCATATTTGCTGGCTCTGGCTCTCATGTGCGCACTGGCCAGCTGATTTTCAGCCTGCCAGAGGGTGGGGGAGGCCGTTTTCACCCTCCCCAGGTTGCAGGAAAGCCTCCGAAGCCTGGAGAGAGCAAAAACTCCCCTCCTGTGTGTGGGGGTGTTCACGTGCATGCATGGGGGTCACGTGCATGTGCGGGAGGGGTCACATGCATGCACAGGTGGGTGGGTACACATGGGCACAATTTTGGCACACCTATAAAAAAAGGTTAGCCATCACTGACCTAGGCTCTGCCTACTCTTAGCTGCCTTGTCCTTCGCTTCAGTGAGTTTTGGTGGGCTGTCAATGTCATCTGGGGATAAACATAATGAACATATAATCTAGTCCAGTATTTTTCAAACTTGGCAACTTTAAGATATGTGTCCCAAAGATGCTTTTTCAAGAATTTCCATAGACACTTACGATGTGTGGACTTAAGTCTCAGAATTACCTTGGACATAAAATAGATGGAATTTCTATTGCACTGTCACAACCACCATATTGATATCTTTTTTACATATTATATGAACACTACTGATGCTATGTCTGTGCAGAAATCCAGATTCAAGGGGCAATATGTGCTTCAGAGAGCATGCAGACATGCACAGAGCATGTCAACATTATTTTAAACAACAATATTATTGACAATACTATTTTAAACAACGTCTTCTCCCAGAATTGCATATCATCTATGAAGGAAGCTTTGAGGGCTCAGGAAACAGCTGCAATTTTGAAGACCAGCCCTATCTCTTCTT